CTTTATGGATATGGAGTATACTCTCATTTGTTATTGGTGTTGGTTTGCCAGTATTTTGTTGAAGCTTTTCCAGTCGATACCAATAAGGCAATTGGGTCTAAAATATTCTCTTCTGTTGCTATATTTGCCAGGTTTTGTCACAGTTTACTACCATAAGTGAGTTTTTTCAGTAGTTGGTGATATGTTATTTAATATTACAACAGTAATGTTTGATATATGGTTTTATGAGGAGGGAATTGCCTTTGAAGGATCAAGTTAATTTCATGTTTCAAATGAGCCCAAACATAGCAACTGCTCATTCAGAACAGGAATTTTGGGTTGTATCTTACTATTTTACAGCATTATCAAATTTGCATATTTATTGCTTATATTGCTGCTTTGAGTTTTTCCGTGTGTGTGTGTGTGTGTGTGTGTGTGTGTGTGTGTGTGTGTGTGTTGCATTACTTTGTTTTGTTCTGAAACACGGTTTCTCTGTGTAGTCCTGTCTTCCTGGAACTCATGATGTAGACTAAGAAAGCATCTAGCTCACAAAGATTCATGTTCATCTGCTTCCCAATGTTAGGATCAAAGGTGTGCACCATCCTACTTGGCTCTGAGTTTTTCACTCATCAGTTGTGATATAAAAATATTTTCACAGGGTTTCATTCTAGCACCTCAAAGACACATGACAGCTAAGAAGAAGGTGACATTTTCTGAGGTGGTTGCTACACAGGGAAAAAGGAAAATCATGAGCCTCTGGGCAGGTTGTGTCTAACTACACACAACAATAGGAGTGAAATAGAACTTCTAGCCATGTGTGTCTAAATTGAGTCAACCCTCTTAATTAAGACTTGAATCTACTGAAGACCGAGTGCAAACTACCATGAGATGTCCAATCTCCTTTTAAAGACCATTAAAGCCAGGACAGTATGAAGGAACTTCCTAAAGAGGGTAAGAAGCTGATAAAACATCATCATTGAGGATGGAAAAATGACTACACAGTGTTCTTCTTTCCCCTTGGACACAGAGATTCAAACCACATGGAAAGACTGTAAGTGAAAAAGATCTGATTTGGTCAAATCAAAAAGTCAAAAGTAGGAAATGACAACTGTGAGGTAAGTACCAGTTGTTATGAAAATATGCCCAGTAGATTTTTTTTGTAAAGACAAGAACTACTAAAACATGTTGCATGACTCATGTTCTTAAATAGTAATTATCAGAACTTGATTAATAAATGAAATAATATAAAATGAAATGAGACTTGACATTTCTATGCTTTTGTGAAAATCAACTGTGGAAGGAAAGAGGATTTACATATAATGACCAAGAATCTGGATGACACCGCACTTGTAATCAACAGTCATGAATGACAGAAGAGCAGTAGAAAAAAATATTTTCATTCTTCAGTGTATGATTAACCAAACTATTGCTATGGACTAAAATTGGACAGTGGAATTTTCAAGAAAGTAGTTAAATTTCTGAATTGATGTGTTTATGTGAAAATGAGGGATAGTATATACTATATGAAATTATTTTTTTGAAGATGAATGACTGAATCCCTATTTTGAAATTTTCATTTAATTATGATGCTCTATATAGTAACCAGAGGTCAGTAGGAGCACCAATTAAAGATAACGGACTCTAAAAAGAGATTTCTGGGAGTTAATTGAATGGACAGAAAAATCTTGCATTTGATCTCTCTTCAACCCTAAAATCAAAGACATTAATAAGTTCAATTTGGAACTAAATTAGAGATTAATGTATTATTTTACAGTTCTCTGAGATTTTAGAGAAACTGGATCCATAGAGATTGGTGTTATTCTGACAAGATTAAATTATTGTTCCCTTTTCTGAATATGGTTTGCTCTTTTGAAATTTGATGTGCAAACAAGTTTGAGATAAATCTTTAAGTCCTCAGAAAATTCACTGATTTCCTAAATGTTGCAAGTTTATTTTCCAATGACTGCAAATAGAGTAGCGGTTTTGAATGACACATTTTGTTATACACTACAAGCTTAACCATAAGTAAAACAACAACAAATTTTTAAAAACACACACACACACACTTTCAGTTTATTTAGTGTCTACTGAAGTTATTTAGCAGTAAGAGGAGTCGATTTTTGTTTAATTTTGTTTCCTCTTCACTCATTGAAATATCAGTAATACCAACTTGCACATAAATGTTAGTAACCTTATTACTAGAGAACTGATTGTCAAAGTCATCTCTTTCGCTGATATCCAACTTGCAGTTTGTAAAATGCTCCAAAATGCAACATTAGTTAGTACTATACTTATATTACGTTCCCCAAGTTCTGCACTTAGTAAAATATCCATATTAAGAGGCCTTGGGAACTAGGCATTGTGGTACACCTGTGGTCCATACCTCAGGAGCAGAGGTGGAGGCCAGTCAAGGTTACACAGGGAGGACTGAATAAGAACCAACCTCAAAAGCTAAGTAATAGCAGTAGAAAGGGATTCAAATAAATTGATAATGATTTCTAAGTGGCTAGAAATAAAAACAACTTTGAACCAAGTCTAATTGTTTTTGCCTTCAAATTCAGTCCATGTTATCAGCTAGGGAAATTTCTGCCAACTTTGTCAACATTGTATAAATATAGTTTATCCACAAAAATTAATTCACTAATAGGATATGGTGCTGGGAATGCAGCTCAGTGATAGAAGACATACCTTGTATACCATGAACCCTAGGCTTTAGAAACACACACACATACACACACACACACACACACACACACACACACACCTACTGAAGTATCTCATCCTTTGTCTTCAAGCTGCAAATATAACCCTTCCCTCTTTAGTGTGACATCATATGCTATAGTGCCTCTCAAAAACATTTATCTTATATGAATTACATAATTTCCAAGAAATTGCAGCTATGGATGAAATATTGAAAATCTCATAAAATTTTTTGTACAAAGTATTTAGACTTAATGGATTTTTTTCTAATTATTCAGAATTCATGCTGCAATGCTCATTTACATAAAATGTTTTGTGCTGGAGAGCTTCCTGCAAGCACTTATGTGTGCTTATAACTATACAACTACACCTAGTAGAGATTAAAAGCATGTCAATCTTAAATTCTTAACAATTTTCAAGTTTTTATAAATTCAATTATTTTTCCTGTAGACAAAACACTCAAATACTAGATAGATATGTCTGGATGACAAAATATGAAAAGTGATATTTAAATAATTTAACCAAGAAAAAAATCGTTTGCTATGTGTAACTTTAAAAATAAATTCACTCAAAATAGTCATATTTGTGGCTTTGGTGGCTTCCCCATGTTTACTTTAGTTGTAGAAAATTCAAACTTCCCCAATGATACTATTTTTTTCTATTATAAATTCCTGTATTTGTACACTGTTTAATTACAATGTTGTAGGTAAAATACTGCTGTGGATTGACAGATTCCATCCCCAAATAATTCTACATTGCCACAGACTGAAATAGGAAGAAAGGAACCCGTTGATAGGACCCAATGGAAACACCCTATTTGTGACAAGTAAATACTAATAATAAAAGAGTAAACACTTAAAAGCCATTCATATGAATATTTTATGGAAAGGTTAACATGCCCTCATTTACAGCCTGCAAATATCATCCAAACAGATGCCTCACTAAATGTCCTCTCATTCAAAATGAAAGCACATTCGAGCACTTGCAATGGCTTAGGTCAAGCAACGTTATTTATGATGTATATTTAAAGCAATTTTGGCCTGTGTATAAGCAAATAAAATCTTGAAATACTAATTGCAGTTGTCACTAAAGATGATACATTACACACCACACTACTACGTTCATTTTTGAAGCATATAGAACTGTGACAGATGACTCTATTTTCTGCTCACATTTCATTAACTGCACACATGCTGTGTTGCCATTACAATGGAGTGTGGATGAGGAAAACACATACATGCACAATGGAGTTACTTTATTCAGGAATCGAAAAGAATGAAATTGCCATTTTGAGGGACATGGAACTGCAATCATTTAAGCAAAACAGTCACCCTCTAAAAGACAAGAAGTATGTGAGAGCACAATGGGAAAATGAGAGAATTAAAGAATGTGGTGAATATTGTCACGGATGGTGTGTGTATCTCTGAAAATGCCACAAAATGCTGTACATCCTGCAGTGAACACTGCAGAGGAAGTGGAAATCAACAGCAAAGTGGGTAGTGAACATAGCATCAATGACATGCAATTGAAGTGGGTGGTGTAGAAATCCACCCTGGTTACCACTGCAGAGGAAGAAATGAGTTTCTAAGAACACTATTTGAATGTCCAGAGAAACAAAGCAAAGATACCCCCAAATTAGTGAAAGAAAAAAATGCATTAAGGTTGTATTGGTGAAACAGAAAGCACAGCTCCCACCAATACATCATTAACAAACAATGGATAATATCAACATAGGAATAAGTTGACTCAAGGAAAGATGATTGAATGTAAAATGAAAATATTAATACCCAAGCAAATAATTCTGATTCAGCTATAGAAACCTTGCTCTACTGGAAACTGAAATTCAACTAGGGTTCTGGAAACAGACTACTGGGAATAATGGGGTTTAGGGATTTGAAATCTGTAGTCGCGGAGTCTCCAGTCAAACACACTTCATATTGGTAACTCTGGGACAGAGTCCCCATTCCGCTGACATCCACCAGGTGGCTAGGAAAGTGGCCCTCAGGCATAGAGCACCTACCCAGTGAAGTCTCCCTGGCCCTCCTGTACAGCTTCACCCCCACAAACAGCAGCACAGAAAAGAGGAAGAGCGAAGACACAGAAGCCAAGGCAATGACCAGATAGAGTGTGAGCAAGTCATTTTGGTGCTCAGGGTCGCGCACCACCTCAGGCAGAGGCAGGTAGGGCTGAGAGAAGCCATCCACCACCAGCACATGCAGAGTGACACTGGCAGACCTCTGAGGATCACCATTGTCCTTGACCAGGAGCAGCAGCCTGTGCTTCAGCGCATCACGCTCACTCAGCAGCCTGGCAGTGCGCACCTCGCCATTGTGAGCCCACACATTGAACAGCCCTGGCTCCGTGGCCTTGAGCAGCTGGAAAGACAGCCAGGCATTCTGGCCAGAGTCGCGGTCCACTGCCACCACCTTGGTGACCAGGTAGCCTGGCTCTGCCGCCCTGGGCAGCAGCTCAGTGCAGGGCGCAGAGGCATTCTGCAGAGGGTAGAGCACAAAGGGCGCATTGTCATTGGCATCCAGCACGAGCACACGCACAAGCACCTGGCTCCTGAGCTCTGGTGAGCCTTGGTCTGTGGCGCCCACGTGGAACTCGAAGGTCTGAAGAGCCTCATAGTCCAGCGCCCTGAGCGCGAACAGCTGCCCATTGTCTGCATTGATGGAGATGAGAGAGGAGAGGTCCAGCTGCGGGTCATGGGTGGGCAGCAGCGAGTAGGTGATATGGGCATTGGAGCCTGAGTCTGAATCTGTGGCGCTGATGTTGCCTATGTGCAGGGCAGGGCTGTTGTTCTCCTGGACAAACAGGGTGTAGGAGGTTTCAGTGAAGGCAGGGGCGTTGTCGTTGACATCGGACACCTGCACTGTTATGGTGTGCTGGGTTGTGAGCCTGGGTGTGCCCAGGTCAGTGACTGTAATGGTGATGTTGTACTCAGCTCTACTCTCTCTGTCCAGTGGCCCCTCTGTGATTAATGTGTAATAGTTCTTGAAAGTGGGTTTTAAGAGGAATGGGAGATCATTCTGAATAGAACACACCATCCTTCCATTGTCCCCAGAATCTGGGTCAGAAACACGGAAAACAGCAACTACTGCCTCAGGAGCATTTTCTGGGACTGAAGTAGTGAGCGAAGATATGGTGAGTTTAGGGGCATTGTCATTCACATCCAACACCTGTATAGTTACACTGCATTTTCCTGAAAGGCCTCCACTGTCTGTTGCAACGATTTCCATGTTATAATACTGAGTTTCCTCAAAATCCAATGCCCTTTTAAGACGAATTTCTCCTGTGACCTCATCTACTACAAATGGTTGAGAAGCTCCACCATCTTGAAACAGAGAGTAGGCTACATTCCCATGTATCCCAGCATCTAAATCCCTGGCAGAGACTGTCAAAAGTAAGGCACCAAGGGGGCTGTTCTCGGGGACCTGTACCTCATAGAGCAACTGTACGAACTGGGGAGCGTTATCATTGATGTCCACAACTTCAATGCGAACTGTGGTTGTCCCCGACCTGGGTGGAGTCCCTCCATCCACAGCAGTGAGGGTTAAAGTGAGCTCAGGCTGCTCCTCCCTGTCCAGAGCTCTGTCCAGCACCAGCTCTGGGTATTTCCTGCCATCAGCGCGACTGTGAGTGACCACATGGAAATGGAGGTTGGGGCTGACTGTGTAGTTCTGAACAGCATTTCTTCCTATGTCAGAGTCCTGAGCTGCCTTCAGAGGAAACACAGTCCCTGGCTGAGCACTTTCTTGAATTTTTAGGAGTATTTCCCTGTGGGGGAACTCAGGAGAATGGTCATTTATGTCTGTGAGCTGCAGGTCAGTTTGGAAGAACTGCACAGGGTTTTCCAGTATGACCTGGAAGTGCAGCACACAGGGTTCTGTCACCCCACACAGCTCCTCGCGATCTGGTTTTTCCTTCAGAACCAAATTCCTGGTCTCTGAATCCAGCCCCAAGAGCTCTTTGTTCCCACTGTGATGGATTGTAGCACCTCTAGATGCCAGCTCCCCCACCCTGAGCCCCAGATCTTTTTCCAGGTTAGCCACCAAGTAGCCAGTCTCTGTTTCTTCTGGCACAGAATATCTAATTGCCTCAGAGCCAGACTGCCACAAAAGCAACAATATAGTAAGGAAAACTACTTGCCTTTTCTCTGGTGTTTTTGCTAGAACTGTCTCCATTGTTCAGATGCAGGTCAGATAGTGCTGCTGCTTCTAGTCAGTTTTAATCCACACAGATAAGGTTTGGTGAAATATCCTCGAATTAAATAATACTGATTTGCTTACAGGAGTCCATTGTCCTGGATCTTATATAAATGCCCCCTTCTTTCAGGAATCAGTCAGCATTCTGATTCCCGGGAAAGACTTCCTGCTCATCCTTGGAGCCCCTTAGTTTTACAACTTGTTAGTCTGCAGCGCCACCGTGCGTACTATTCTAGTGTTGCACATAGCATTGTCCATTTCATTCTCAGTTCCAGCAATACTATGTTTAAATACACTTTATGATACAGAATGTGAGGGGTCAGTGGGGAACGTGGGGAAATGGGAGGGAGAGGGGACTGCAATTGACATGCAAAATAAGATTGTTTCTAATTTAAATAAAAGTTTATAATAAAGAAAAGGAAAAAAAAAAGGATATAGAACTATCCTCCATTGCATGTTCCGATCTTAGCAACCAGAAGTTCTGACACATGCTGATTTAATTTTCAGTGAACATAACCTCCTAAATTATCAAAATGGCATATTGATCAAAAGAAGTTTTGAATATACAAATTGAAGTCAATGGATGTTTAAATATTCCCAAATTACTTTTCATTGAATGTTACATACATATAAAAAGGAGCACTATTCTTAATGGTTCAGAACAACAAAGGGTCACCAAGTTAATATAGTCAAATAAACAGAATCTAGATGATGATATGGCTTGTGCCTAAAGAAATAATGTTCCTCTGACATTTGTTAGTTACTACTCGCATCCTGGGCACTTCACTTCCATTCCCATTGGATATTCTGCCTTTCTTGGAAGTTTTATAAAGTAGTTACAGTAGAGTATCTATCTGTTGTGAGATGTTCTTCGCTGTCATTTTCTTTGGTAAGCTGATCTTGACATGGTCTTTTCATTGTTTTGTACATTCCTTCATATGCTCATGTGGTTATTTGCTTGCATATAGTCCGGAAAAGCAATATTGGGGGCTTCCAGGTATAAGTTTTATTTGTGGTTTGTTTGGTTGGTGGGTTTGTTTTTGTTTTTGAGACAGGATTTCTCTACATAGTCCTGGCTTTCCTGGAACTCACTATATAGGCTAGGCTGAACTTGAACTCAGAAAAACTGCCTGCCTCTACCTTCCAAGTGCTGGGATTGAAGGCATGTGTCAACACTTTGAATTTTGAATGTTACTCCTATGAACATTCTTTCTTAATCCAATGTATAACATATGCATATATCATATGTATCGGAGCTGTTTGTTGTCGTCAAAGTGTGAAAAATAGATTTAACCTTGACAAACACTATGAAGTAGTTTTCAAAGGTAGTTGTGCTGAGCTGCACCTGGTGGCTCACCCCTGTAGTTCCTTCTCTAGGAAGATGCACAAAAGGGTGTCACTCAAGCTCAAGGCCAGAGTGGGATATAGTGAGTCACTGTCTCAACATTTCTTTAAAAGCTGGGGATAGAGATGCAGCTCAATAATAGAATGCTTTCCTAGTGCATTCAGTGAACTGGGATCCATTCTCAGCAATGTGGAAAAATAATTCCAGCAATGCATGGTAATTCCAGTTGCTCCACAATCTTGTCAACATTTGATGCTGTCTTTCCAGTTTTAACCACTCTAGTGAGTATGGATGTCACAGTGTACATTTAAGTTGCATTTCCTTGGTGATTAATGAAATGATGCAAACTATCACAAGTTTATTGACTGTTCAGATGCTTTCTTAACATGTTTTATGCATGTTTTTATCTGATGCAAATGGATTGTTAGTCTGCATAAGAATTTTTATTCTTAGTATAATCCCATTTTACATATGCATATTGCAAGTAATTTTCCCATGCTATGCCTTCTATTTTAACCTTCTTACGGTGTCTTTGAAAAACAAAGGTTAGTAATTTTAACTTAACCTGATCTGTCAATATTTTCCATTTCTGTGTAACACTTTTCTCCTATTTAAATATTTCCATACTCAAGGTAATAGGAAGTCTTGTGTGTTTTGAATGATTGTTTTATTTTTCACATTTAAGGGTATACTCAGTGTAAACTCAGTCAAGTGCATAAGGTTAGGGTCCATATTTTCCCAAATGCCTTTGCATTCTGAACTGAAAAGATGATAATTCTTGGTCATCACATTTATAAGTTAGATGATCCTGAATCAGCTCAAAGGTTCCATTTGTCTTTGAATATCAAATAGTAATATGCTCTTTTACTTATCACAAGTCTATAACAAGTTTTATTGTCTTCAGGCTAAGTTTTCCTCTGAAAAGATGAGTTTTAAGGAATTTTAAATCCACAGAAAATAATAACTAAAGACACAGAGAATCTCCACAGCTGGGCACAACGTCCTTCCCTGTCATCCCCTCCAGAGTGGTACTTGAGCTTCAATATTAACACATATTTTCCCAAGTCCATCATTTTAATTCGGATTCGCTCTATGTACTCTACATCATATGGATTGGGATTAATTCTTCATGACATGCATCCATTTTAGAGTATCATAAAGTAGTTTCCCTGACTCCAAATCTTCTAAAATAGTTATTTAATTCTCCTTTCCCCTTTTGAAATCTCTGGAAATCATTTATCTCTGTTTGTTTGTGTGTTTGTTTGTTGTTTGTTTGAGACAGGGTTTTTCCGTGTATCCCAGAACTTACTCTGCAGACCAGGCTGTCCTGAAACTCAGAGATCCATCTGCCTCTGCTACTGAGTACTGGTATTAAAGGGGTGTGCCACCACCACCTGCTTCATTTGTCTTTCTTGCTGTCTGCATGCTTTGGACTTTTAAAAATGTCACATATTAAGAGTTTTAAAGCTTTTCTCCTATGTGTTTAAGGTTCCTCAATGCCTATTCATGAACTCATAGCTCATTTTATTTGGTATGGAATAATGTTCTGTTTTGTAATTGCATCAGACTTTCTCAGTTTTGCTACTGAGGATCTTGGTCACTGCCAGGTTTTGCCAAGTGATGTAAAAGTTTGCAACAAGCACCCTATCCCAGCTTTTTGTGGACTCAAGATTTAGGCTAATTTGACAAATACAGAGAGAGAGAGAGAGAGAGAGAGAGAGAGAGAGAGAGAGAGAGAGAGAGAGATTCCTGGGTAACATAGTAAGAATATCTAGTTTTGCAAGAAGCTGCCAAACTATCTTCTAAAATGGCAATGCCATTTTCATTCCATGACCCATGAATAAGAGTCCTTGATACTTCTTGTCCTCCTCAGCTGTTGGTGGTGTCAGTGTCTTGGAGTATAGCTGTTCTGTCTTGTGGCTGTATAGTGATGTCTCGTTATTTAAATTTGCATTTGTATAATGACATCAAAATGGAGTTTCTTCCCCTGTGCTTATATATTTGCCATCTCTGAGTCTTGTTTGGTAAGTATTAGGATCTTTGGGGAAAAAATTTCCATGATTTGTCAATGGTGACTCTTGAAAGTCTTTGCATATTTTGAACAGCTGCCTTTTACCAAACATATCTGCTGGCAGCATTTTCTCTTGGTCTATGACTTGTTTCTGTTTGTTTGTTTATTTTAGCCTCATTTTTAAAATTTTCTTTGCAGAATCTTTTGCAGAGCAGAAAATTTTAATTTGAATAAAATCTGCATTATCGATTATTTCTCCCATGAATCACACTACTGTTATAATATAGTGTGTTCAGTTTTACTGTTGGATTAAGATTGCTTTATTATTTTCTCTTTGTATATAAATACAAAGCATATAGTCAACCCATCAAATTCACAAAGAATATTGAAGTATTTGCTTAAGACTTTACAATTTCTATGGATTGTGTGAGAGATAAAAAAACATTTCAACCACAGAGTTTTTCTATTTTACTTAAATCTTTATGTTTTTCTCAATAATGTTTGATATTCCTGCTTTACAACTCTCCAACTAGATTTGTTCCTAAGTATTTCTATATTTGGAAACCTTCTTAAATGCTTTACTTTTTTTTTTTTTTTTTTTTTTTTTTTTTTACTTTTTCTTCATTTAAAAAGATTTCGTCCATGTTGTTGACTTTGCATCTGCCAACTTCCCTGACTTCTCTTATCACTTCTGATTGCAGCCTCTTCATGGTTTTATTATATAATTGCATCATTTAAACATACAATTTTATTCCTTCTGTTGTGGCTTTTATTTCTTTTCTGCCTTAATCCTCTGGTTGAGTTTGGTCATATAATCCTGGTAATAGCCAGGGTGGGCATCTTCGTCTCATTTTTTGATTGTCGTCAGCAGAAAATTTTCAATAATCTACTTCTAGTAATATTTACTCTATAAGTATTAGTCTAGTTCTTCTCAGATAGGGCCCAACTATGCAGCCCTGCCCTGTAATGAAACTCCCTATATAGGCCAGGTTGATCTCGAACTCACAGAGATTCACCTGCCTCTGTGTGGTGATATAATGTTTATGATTAATGCTTAAAAGTCATGTCTTAGCTTTACTGATGCTCCGTTAAAAGAAATACATCATCTTCATGTGATTGATTACTTTAATATTTTTCCTGTACTGGGCCTTGTGTTGAGCAAATTTCTTGTGATATGTTCAAGTGGACTTTGCTTCTTGCAGACCCTGATGAAGTTTCTCTGGAGACCCCAAACATTCAAAGACTCAGCAGTGGTAGAAACTGTCAGTCATTATCTCTTCAGACATTGTTTAGCCCTTTCCTACACCTGTAGTAGAATATTCACTTTGTCTCCTTCTGTGGCACTGACCACGCCCATTGGGGGTGGAGCCAGGGGCAGAAGTGACCTGTGGAAGGAGGTCTGAGGAGGAGCTAGGAATACTCTTGCTGGTGGGTTGCAGAGAGGAGAGCATTGAGTGGAACTTGCTGGTGTTCATCTGTCTAGGTTGTAAGTTATTTCTCCCTGAATAAACATCTATTCCGCCTATTTGTTTATCCTGATCCTTATTTAACCGCAATATACACCCCAAATCTCTCTTACCCCCTCCCACTCCTGCCAAAGCCCTTCTTCCTAGCAGATCTCCACCTCACTCTCAGGTCTTCTGTGTGTGGCTCACTGAAGCTCATGGTTACTAATTTCTTTTTTAAAAACTGAATAATAACCAAAAGCTACATTTCAAGAAGAACTTAAGGACACAATTCCTATTCCGAGATTAATTATCGAAGGAGATTATATCAAAGCAGTGATTTAACCGTTTTATTTTTAAAATGGGATGGGAAATTACACATTTAATCTTTAATTTTTGTAAAATAAGAATCCAAAGCATTAATGGTAGCATTGGAACCAAGGGAACAGAGCCGTAAGCATGCATAATGCTCAACAACAAAAAGTGTCACAGCCCTTGTGTACATTCAAATACACTTTACATTTTATGGCTTGGCTGTTCAGGGCATGTAGCCCAGTAGTGAACCCGACATAATGCTACTTTCCATTCGTGCAGGCAACAAAAGTAATTTTAAACAATCAACCTTCGAAACAAACAAACAAACAAAAAATTAAATGGAAAAGGCATGTGCCACAAATGCAACTTTTTTTGAGAGCAATAAAATGTCTCAGATCACTAACGGTGTCATTCACGGAAAATTTTACACTGTTTGGGTTACTTTACTTAGGGTTATGGTAGTACAACTACACCTAGTACCTTCATACCAATAAAAAAGAATCTGTCTGTGCAATTAATTTTTTAAGTAGTTTAGACAAGTGGAGAACTTCATAGAAACAAGATCATTTCTTAAAAGAAAAGAACAGTACAACACTAAGAAATTTGCATCACTTAATTCAGTGGTTCTCAACCTTCCAATACTCTGGTTCTTTAACACATTTCTTCAATGTGGTGACCTGGAACTATAAAATTATTTTCTTTTTACTTCATACCAGAAATACTGCTACTATTGTGACTCACAATATAAATATATGATATGCAGGATATCTGTTATGCAACACCTGTGAAAAGGTCATCTGACCCTCGAAGGAGTCATGATCCACAGGTTGAGAACTTACAACTTATCTGAATCCAAAGCTATCCCTGCAATGAAGATTTTCCTTAAATTCTCTCCCAGGATCCTGAACCATTATAGCTCAGGGATCATGGGTTTGAGGAAGTTGAACTCACCAGTCCCAGAATCCCCGGTCAGACAGACCTCATACTGGTAGCTGTGCGAAAGGGTTCCTGCCCCGTTGACATCCACCAGGTATCCAGGAAAGTGACCCTGGGGCACAGAACAGCCACCCAAAGATGTGTCTCTGGCCCTCCTGCACAGCTTCACCGCCACGATCAGCAGCACAGACAAGAAGAAGAGCGAAGAAACAGAAGCCAAGGCAATGACCAGATACAGAGTGAGTGCATCCTCCTCCTCTTGAGCAGGGTCACCTGCCACCTCAGGTAGAGGCAGATAGGGCTGAGAGAAGCCATCCACCACCAGCACATGCAGAGTGACACTGGCAGACCTCTGAGGATCGCCATTGTCCTTGACCAGCAGCAGCAGCCTGTGCTTGGGAGCATCACGCTCGCTCAGCAGCCTGGCAGTGCGCACCTCGCCATTGTGAGCCCACACATTGAACAGCCCAGGCTCCGTGGCTTTGAGCAGCTGGAATGATAGCCAGGAATTCTGGCCAGAGTCGCGGTCCACTGCGACCACCTTGGTAACCAGGTAGCCAGGCTCTGCTACCCTGGGCAGCAGCTCAGTGCAGGGTGCAGAGGCATTCTGCAGAGGGTAGAGCACAAAGGGTGCATTGTCATTGGCATCCAGCACAAGCACGCGCACCAGTGCCTGGCTGCTGAGCGCTGGTGAGCCTTGGTCTGTGGCTTCCACGCGGAACTCGAAGGTCTGTAGGGCCTCATAGTCCAGAGCCCTGAGCGCGAACAGCTGCCCATTGTCTGTGTTGATGGAGATGAGCGAGGAGAGGTCCAGCTGAGGGTCGTGGGTGGGCAGCAGCGAGTAGGCGATATGAGCATTGGAGCCTGAGTCTGAATCTGTGGCGCTGATGGTGCCTATGTGCAGGGCGGGGCTGTTGTTCTCCTGCACAAACAGGGTGTAGGAGGTTTCAGTAAAGGCAGGGGCGTTGTCATTGACATCAGACACCTGCACTGTTATGGTGTGCTGGGTTGTGAGTCTGGGTGTGCCCAGGTCAGTGACTGTGATGGTGATATTGTACTCAGCTCTGGTCTCTCTGTCCAGTGGACTCTCTGTCACCAGGCTGTAGAAATTCTTGAAAGTGGATTTTAGGATGAATGGCAGGGTTTCTGGAATAGAACAAACCACCTTTCCGTTCTCTCCAGAATCCCTGTCTCCAACTCTGAAGATGCTGATTATGGTCTCAGGAGCATTTTCTGGGACTGAGCTGGTCAGTGAAGATATGGTCAGCTCTGGGGCATTGTCGTTCACATCCACCACCTCTATCAGCACAGCGCCCTTCCCAGAAAGCCCCCCTCCATCCGTGGCCTCGATTTTCACATGGTAAGATTTAACTTTTTCAAAATCCAATCCCTTTCTCAGTCGTATTTCTCCCGTGACTTCGTTTATTGAGAAAGTTTGTTGAATTTCGTCTGAGGCTTGGAACAAGCCATAGGAAACTCTTCCAAAGATGCCAGCATCTGCATCCTGGGCCAGGACAGTCAGGACTGGGGAGTCTGGGGGACTGCTCTCCAGGACCTGCACCTCATAGGGGGTGTTCACAAATTCAGGGGCATTGTCATTGATGTCCAGGATCAGGATTCGAACCATGGCTGTTCCTGACCTAGGTGGATCACCGCCATCCAGAGCTGTGAGGGTCAAGCTCAGCTCTGCCTGCTCCTCTCTGTCCAGGGCTCTGTCCTGTACCAATTCTGGGTATTTCTTGCCTTCACTGTTATTTCGAGTGACAACATGAAAATGAGAATTGGAGTTGACCGTGTAATGTTGAAGCCCATTGCTTCCCACATCCAAATCCTGAGCTAAATTCAGTGGTAAAAGAGTTCCTGGCTGGCTGTTTTCTGGTATTTTCAAGAGCATTTCCATATCTGGGAATTCTGGTGAGTGGTCATTGATGTCCTGGATCAGCAATTCTCCTTGAAGAAATTGCACTGGCTTTTCCAGAGATACCTGGAAATGTAGCACACAGGGCTCCAAAGAAACACACAACTCTTCCCGGTCTAGTTTCTCCCTCAGGAGCAGATCTCCTGTCTCAGGATCCAGCACCAATCTCTGCTTGTAGTCATCACACACCACCCGTGCAGACCGGGCTGTCAGGTCCCCAGGTCTCAGGTCCAGGTCCTTGGCCAGATGGGCTACAAAGGAACCACTTTCTGTTTCCTCCAAGATAGAATATTGAGTTGTTTTCTCACTGCAAACCTGAACCAAAACCAGCATAAAGGTAAAAGCCATGACTTGCCTGTTTGGGTGAATTCTCTCCAGCCTCTCCATGTTGGGGAAGTGTTTGCATCCAATCCTTTAGTGGTCAACAAATGCTTTAAAACGCTGACTTCTGGTTTCTTCTTCGGAGGGATCTTCACAACGTTGCTCTTAATCTTACACCAATCCAGTATATCCCTGCCCAAAGCCTTTCATAGCCCTGAAGTGCTTGCAAAGCTCTTGCTATCGTCCTTTGTTTTGTATTACCAGGAGAGATTCCTGGTATTTTAGTGCTTTTAAATTACAATCTAAGCCTGCAGCGCCACCCTGTGTCTTTTTTGAGAAATTCTGACAATTCTATTTTCAAGTCAAATGCCTCTTTATAGTTTCCAAAGTAATGTCATTTTAAAAAGTGTAGGCAGAGAAGTGTTTTTATTTACCAATGTTGTTACTGCTTGGAACTGCATAAATTGTGTAATTATTCAATACTGTGCATGGGAGGGATCGTGAAAACAAAACTAGAAGACATCTTGTCCTCTCACAAAACAAGAAAGCATTCTTTAAAAAGTATTTTTTTCACAGTGATAAAATATCATAGTAATAAGGTTAATATCAAGAGTCTGTGTAATTTGCTATAAGTTATTATAGAATGAATCGTTTTGGGATAGTCCAATGCACAGAAACAGTTGCATAGATCTAGTTCATCAGCTGACCACTTGAGTGAAATAACTATGAACCAAAGAGTGTATGTTGGTGAAAAAACCCTCAAATTTAATATTAAATAGCTTCCAAAGCCTAAAATATTTCAATTTTGATGCACACTAAGGCCATAGCTAACAAAACATTCCTGTGTGTCTATTTAAATAGAAAATGCAAGTATACATTTAGTGCATTGAATCATTCAGATATTTTATTTCCAACTTGCAATATTACATTAAGACCAGGAAGTTTCATTTCTTCAAGTGTCTCCTTTTTCCAATATTGTTTTGCTTATTCAGGAGTTCGTGCATTTCCACATACAAAATTTAGGGACATTTTGGTAACTTCTTGGAGAAAAGCAAACTGGCATTTTAGCAAGAATTCCATTAAGTTGTAAACTAGTTTGAGGGTAATCTTTACAATACAGAACCTTCCAGTTCATGTACACTTCCTTCTTACATAGGCCTTCTAGAATCTCCTTTATGTTTTCTAGTGTTGTGTATGAAATTCATCTACATACTTGGCTGCTTCTTTTCTAAGCACCTTGCTCCATTTGATTCCAAGGGACTTTTTCTTCGTTCTCAATTTGGCCAGTGGCAGCGTACAGAGATAGCTCCTTTCAGAAAGCTACAAACTTTCCAAATTTGTTCATTAATGTTTGCATACTTCCAGATTACTTAAGAGTTTGTGTATGCAAAGCTACACCAAAGATATCTGTGTTTTCTCTTTCTAATTAGAGGGTTTTATAAAATGCTTTTCTGGATGATTGTGTGGCTTTGCCATTGATTTGGTCCCCAAGTGATATTTCAGTGTTGATGTTTTTATATTGAACTATTTTTCTTCGATAAATCTTTTATAGTCATGATGTACAATCTTGTCTGTTATTGGTGACAGTTTGCAATATTTTCTTGAGAATTTTCATATCAGCATTGACTAAGCAAATGGATATACAGTTTATTTCCTTTTATTATATTTACCTGGTTTCATCACAGTTTACTGCTAGAGAATGAGTTGATAAGTAGTTGTTGCTCTGGTCTTTGTTATTAGAGCAGTAATGTTAGCTATATGGCTTTGCAATGAGGAAATTGCCTATAGAGTCAAGTATTTGTTTCTTTATCACTAGAGCCTAAATATAGCTACTGCTCATTCAGAACAGGAATTTTGAGTTGTGTCATAATGTGCTGGTCATCATCAAATTTGTACATTTATTGCCAATATCAAGGTTGTAAGATTTTCTATGTTTGTAGTTTAGTTGCTGCTCTTGTTTTGGGACAGAGATTGTCTATTCAGTTCTGGTAGTGTGGAACTCACTGTGTAAATCATGCTGGCCTCAAACTCACAGAGGTTCACCTGCTTCTGTCTGCAAACTGTGGGGACCAAAGGCATGTACCACCATGTCAGGCTACCCATGTGGTTTTCACTCATCAGTACTTTATAAAAAAATATTCTACCAGGGACTCAGGTCTAGCACCTTAACAGACACCATATCAGCAATGAAAAAGGAGATAATCTCTAAGATATTGGCTTCATAAGTCAAATGCGGAATTGTAAACCCCAAGGCTGTTTTGGCCTAGTTGACACACAACTTTAGGGGTGAAATAGTTCTTCATGTGTGGCAAAGTTGAACTAACCCTCTGGATCCACTGACCCCTGAGTGCAAACTACTATATATAACTTATATAACTTTCAAACGCTCGTTTAAAGGTCATTAAAGCCAAGGCAGTATGAAGGTTCTTCTGAAAGAAGATAAGAAGCTGATAAAAAAAAAATTCACCACTGAGTATGACTAAGGCCACGGGGAAAAATGAGTAGATAGGTTCAGTGTTTGTTCTTTCCCCTAGAACACAGAGATCCAAACCACATGGAAATACTGTTAATGATAGAGATTGGTGTCATACTGACAAAATTAAATTATTGTTCTCTTTTATGAATATGGATTGCTCTTTTGAGATTCAATGTGTACACAAGTTTGAGATACATTTTCAAGTTCTCACAGAATTCAGTGGTTTCACAAATGTTTTGAATTAGTTAATTCAATGAACACAAATTGAGCACCTGGTTTGAATAAGACACTGTTATATACTACAAGCCCAACTATAAGTAAAACTTCAGTTCATTTAGTGTCTGCTGAAGTTACTTAACAGTAGGTAGACTCAATTTTTGTTTAATTTTGTTTCCCCTTCAATCACTGAAATATCAGTAATAACAACTTGTACATAAATGATAGACACATTATTACTAGAGAACTGATTGACAGTCATCTCTTTCATGGGTATCAGACTTGGCATTTGTAAAAATACCCCAAAGTGCAACTGTATTTAGTACTATACATATAGTACTTCCCCTATTTAGTTAGGATTTCTACTGCTGTGAAAAGACACCATGGCTGTGGTACCAACTGAAGTGGCAGCTTACAGTTTCAGAGGCTTAGTCCATCATCATCATGGCAGGGAGCATGGCAATGTATATGAAAACATGGTACTGGCTACCTCTTGATCAGAAGGCAATGGGAAGTAGACTGAGTGTTGCAATGAGTGAAGCTTGAACAAGAGGCCTCAAAGCCCTCCCCTCACAGTGATACACTTCCTTCAACAAGACTATACCTCCCAATAGTACCAGTCCCTATGAGCTTATAAGGGCCAATTACATTAAACTTCAACATCCCCCGAGTCCTATGCTTAATAAAATATCCATATAAAGAGGCCTTTGAAACCAAGCATGGTGCTACATCTGTGATCCCAAACCTCAAGAGCAGAGTCAGAGGTCAACCTAAGCTACACAAAGAAAACTGAATAAGAACCCATCTCAAAATACAATAACAGTAGTTTTGGAAAGCAGTTCAAATAAATGGATAGAAGGTTTCTAATTGCCCCAAAATACAAATAATTTTGAACCAAGACTGATTTTTTTTCTTCAAATTCAGTCCAGGTTATTTTATTGTCTTGTAAATTTTCTGCCCACTTTGTCAACAATCTTTAAATATAGGCCATCCATAAATTAAATTGCTAATAGGATCTGAGACTGGGGATGTATCTTAGTGATAAAAGGTGAAACTTGTATACCATGAGCCCTAGGTTTTGGACACACACACATACATGATAGTATCTAATCCTTTGTCTTCAAGCTGTAAATGGACCATCAGCATATAGTCCTTCCTACTTTAGTGTGATATCATATGTTATAGTGCCTCTCAATAATAATTGTCTTATATGAATTACAAAATTTCCAAGAAATTGCAGAGACCTATGAAAAGATAGAAATCTAATTAACATCTTCATATGAATTATTTAGGCTAAACAGAAAGATTTTTCTGATTATCAAGAAGTCACGCTTTCCATGATCATTAACATAAATTTTTTTATGCTGAGGAGCTTCCTGCTTGAAAAGTGGTTGACCGTTCCCGAAGGCATTTAAATATGGTTATAACTATACAGATACAGGCATTCATCCATGAAATTGTGTCAATATTAAATTCTTGTCTTTCCAGAATTTTCAAAACAGTTTTAATTTTTTTTGTTTTGATTTATCAAGATAGGGTTTCTCTGTGTAGCCCTGGCTTGTCCTGGAACTTGCTATATAGACTAGGCTGGCCTTGAACTCACAGAGAACTGTCTTTCCTTGCTCTCTGAGTGCTGTGCCACCATCACCCAGGACATTTTCAATTTTTGATAAATTCAATTATTTTTCTTGTAGATAGTAACATTCAAATACTAGATAGATATATCTGAATGATAAAATATGAAAAGTGATTTTAAAATAAACGTAACCAAGGAAATAACTGGTATGTGAAACATTTTTTAGAAAAATCACTGAAAATAGGCATATTTTGTGGTTTTGGTTGCTTCCATTGGTATTTTTAGTTGTGGAAATCTAAACTTCCCTATTTATATTGTTTTTCCCATTAAAAATTCCTATATTGCATAATAATTTCAAAGTTGTAGGAAGTTGTAGGAAGATGTGGATTGACAGATTTCATTCCCAATAATCCTAAACATTAATAGATAAAGGAAGGAACTCATTGATAGGACCCAATAGCAATATTTTCCCTGTCACCATACTTATGTCAAGTAAGTATTAATAATAAAAAAGACTAAACATTTAAAAGCCATTCATCTGCATATTTTGTTGAAAGTTTAATGTGTTCTCATTTATATCCAGCATTTACAAATCATCATAACATGCCTCATTAGACAGCTTCCCATACAACATGAAAGCATGCTCAGTCACTTGCAATGCTTAGGTCAAGCAAGGTTATTTATGATACATTGTAGAAGCAATTTGGGCTTGTATATAAGCAAATAAAGTCTTCAACTACTGATTTGTGACTGTCAGCAAAGATAATTTTTAACAACACACTAACTGTTTATGTATGAAAGATACAGAAGACGGTATTATACGTAGATTTCATTAGCTGCACACAACACTGTGTAACATTATAACAGAAGTATGGGTGAGGAAAATGCATACATGGATGAAGGAGTTACTTTAATCAGGCATTAATAATGAAAATGTGATTTCAGGGAGCTGGAACTGCAGATCATTAAGCTAAACAATCACCCTCTAAAAGACGAGAAGTACACGAAAACCCAGTGGGGCATTAGGAGTAATGTGATGATAAGTAGGTGAGTGTTATCAGGGTATGGTATGCATAGCTCTGAAAATGTCACAATGAACACTCTACATTGCACAGTGAACAGGCTATAGTGAAAGTGAAAATCAACATGAATACTAAACAGCAACTTATATGAATAGCCTCAACAAGAAGATGCAATTTGAAGTGGGTGTTGAGGAGATCCACCCTTGTTACAATGAAGAGGAAGGAATGAGACCCTAAGAGCACTATTTCAAATGATCAGAGAACACAGTGGAGTTACATATCCCTCTCCCAAGTCAGTGAAAGAAAAAGGTGCACCAAAGTTACATTGTTAAAATCGTAACCACAGACCCTCAAAAGAAAAATACACTGATAAAATATTAATAGCCAAGCAACTAATCTTGATCCGGTTATTGAAACCTCGGTTTTCTGGACACTGAAACTTACCTACGGATCCTGAAGCAGACTACTAGGAATAATGGGGTTAAAGAATTTGAAATCTGTGGTGCCAGAGTCCCCAGTCAGGCACACCTCATACTGGTAGCTCTGGGCGAGGGTTCCTGTGCCACTGACATCCACCAGGTGACCAGGAAAGTGACCCCCAGGCACAGAGCAGCCACCCAGTGAGGTTGCCCTGGCCCTTCTACACATCCTCACCCCCACGAACAGCAGCACAGACAGGAGAAAGACTGAAGACACAGATGCCAAGGCAATGACCAGGTACAGCGTGAGCGAGTCTTCCTCCTGTGTGAAGTCATGTGCCAACTCAGGCAGAGGCAGGTAGGGCTGAGAGAAGCCATCCACCACCAGCACATGCAGAGTGACACTGGCAGACCTCTGAGGATTGCCATTGTCTTTGACCAGCAGCAGCAGCCTGTGCTTGAGCGCATCACGCTCACTCAGCAGCCTGGCAGTGCGCACCTCGCCATTGTGAGCCCACACATTGAATAGCCCTGGCTCCGTGGCCTTGAGCAGCTGGAATGACAGCCAGGCATTCTGGCCAGAGTCGCGATCCACTGCCACCACCTTGGTGACCAGGTAGCCTGGCTCTGCCGCCCTGGGCAGCAGCTCCGTGCAGGGCGCAGAGGCATTCTGCAGAGGGTAGAGCACAAAGGGTGCATTGTCGTTGGCATCCAGCACGAGCACGTGCACCAGCACCTGGCTGCTGAGCGCTGGTGAGCCTTGGTCTGTGGCGCCCACGCGGAACTCGAAGGTCTGTAGGGCCTCATAGTCCAGAGACCTGAGCGCGAACAGCTGCCCATTGTCTGCATTGATGGAAATGAGAGAGGAGAGAGCCAGCTGCGGGTCATGGGTGGGCAGCAGCGAGTAGGTGATGTGGGCATTGGAGCCTGAGTCTGAATCTGTGGCGCTGATGGTGCCTATGTGCAGGGCAGGGCTATTGTTCTCCTTAAGTAACAGGGTGTAGGAGGTTTGTGTGAAGGCGGGGGCGTTGTCGTTGACATCGGACACCTGCACTGTTATAGTGTGCTGGGTTGTGAGCCTGGGTGTGCCCAGGTCAGTGACTGTGATAGTGATATTGTATTTAGCTCTGTTCTCTCTGTCCAGTGGCCCCTCTGTTACTAAAGTGTAATAGTTCTCGAATGTGGGTTTTAAAAGGAATGGAAGTTCATTCTGAATAGAACACACCATCCTTCCATTGTCCCCAGAATCTAGGTCAGAAACACTGAAAACAGCAACTACAGCTTCAGGAGCATTTTCTGGGACTGAAGTAGTGAGCGAAGATATGGTGAGTTTAGGGGCATTGTCATTCACATCCAACACCTGTATAGTTACACTGCATTTTCCTGAAAGGCCTCCACTATCTGCTGCGACGATTTCCATGTTATAATACTGAGTTTCCTCAAAGTCCAATGCCCCTTTAAGATGAATTTCTCCTGTGACTTCATTTATTACAAATGGTTGAGAAACTTCTCCACCTTGAAACAGAGAGTAGGCCACATTCCCATGTATCCCAGCATCTAAATCCCTGGCAGAGACTGTCAAAACTAAGGCACCAAGGGGGCTGTTCTCGGGGACCTGCACCTCATAGAGCGACTGTACAAACTGAGGAGCGTTATCATTGATGTCCACAACTTCAATGCGAACTGTGGTTGTCCCCGACCTGGGTGGAGACCCCCCATCCACAGCAGTGAGGGTTAAAGTGAGCTCAGGCTGCTCCTCCCTGTCCAGAGCTCTGTCCAGCACCAGCTCTGGGTATTTCCTGCCATCAGAGCGACTGTGAGTGACCACATGGAAATGGAGGTTGGGGCTGACTGTGTAGTTCTGGACAGCATTTCTTCCTATGTCAGAGTCCTGAGCTGCCTTCAGAGGAAACACAGTCCCTGGCTGAGCACTTTCTTGAATTTTTAGGAGTATTTCCCTGTGGGGGAACTCAGGAAAATGGTCATTTATGTCTGTGAGCTGCAGGTCAGTTTGGAAGAACTGCACAGGGTTTTCCAGTATGAGCTGGAAGTGCAGCACACAGGGTTCTGTCACCCCACACAGCACCTCGCGATCTGGTTTTTCTTTCAGGTACAAATTCCCGGTCTCTGAATCCAGCTGCAAGAGCTCTTTGTTTCCTCTGTGATGGATTCGTGCCTCTCTAGAGGCCAGCTCCCCCACCCTGAGCCTCAGATCTTTTTCCAGGTTAGCCACTAGGTAGCCAGTCTCTGTTTCTTCTGGCACAGAATATCTAATTGCCTCAGAGCCAGATTGACACAAAAGCAACAATATAGTAAGAAAAACTACTTGCCTGTTTTCTGGTGCTTCTGCTAGCTCTGTCTCCATTGTTCAGATGCAGTTCAGAAGTCGCTGCCGCTTCTAGTCAGTTTTAATCCACACAGATAAGGTTCGGTGACATAACCTCGAATTAAATCCTACAGAATTGCTCACAAGAGTCCATTACCCTAGATCTTAAGTAAATGTCTCCTTCTTTCAGGGAACAGTCAGCATTATGCTTACCGGAAAGGGCTTCCTGTGCATCCTTTCAGCCCCTTGTTATATTAATTGTTAGTCTACAGCGCCACCGTGCGTACTCTTCTAGTGTTGCACGTAGTGTTCACTTGTTCCCTGTTGGGGCCAGTTGTGTTTAAACACCCTTGAAGATGCGGAACTATCCTTCGTTGTATGCTCAGTTCTTAGTAACCTTGAGTTCCAGCACATTTGATTAGTTAATTTTCAGTGAATGTAACTTTTTAAAGGATCAAAATGGCATACTGATCTTTATGAAAAACGTTTTGGATGCATAAGTTCAATGTAATGGATATCTACAAACTTTGGAATATTCCCAAATTACTTTTCAATGAAATATAACGTACATATAAAAAAGGGCACAAACCTTTAGTGTACAGCACAACAAAGGGTCACCAGGTTAATACAGTCTAATAAGCAAAATCTAGGTGAATAAGTAGCACACATCTAAAGAAAAACAAAAGGTCCCCCTGTTGTTCACTAGGCGCCAGTCTCTTCCTTAGGAACTACACTGACTTTTATTGCCATAGGATATTTTGCCTTTCTTAGAAGTTATATGACTAACCAGTAGAGTATCTCTCTTCTGTAGGATTGTTCTTCACTAACATTTTCTTTGTCATGCTTATTTTGGTATGTTGTTGTCTTTTTTTTTTTTTTTTTTTTTTTTTTTTTTGACATTCCTCTATTTGCTTGTATTATTATCTGCATGCATACACACCAGATAAGGAACACTGGGGATTTCTGGGTTTGAGTTTTTATTTCTTTTGTTTTGTTTTTTATTTGCTTTCTTTGTTTGATTTTGTTTGTTTGTTGTTGGTTTTTGTTTTGTTTTGTTTTTTGAGATAGTGTTTCTCTGTGTTACAGCTCTGCCTGTCCTGCCTCACTTTTTAGAGCAGCCTGACCTAGAACTCACAGAGATCTGCCTGCCTCTGCCTTCAGAGTGCTGAGATTATAGGTATGCACCACCACAGCCAGCTCAGGTTTTTTAATATTGCGCCTATGCAATCCTTCACACATCCTATGTATAACATATGCATATATTATATGTATCAGAATGATTTGTTGTGCATCCAAATGTGAAAATACATTTAGCCTTGGCAAGCACTGTGAAGTAGTTTTCAAAAGTAGTTGTTCTGAGCTGCACCTGGTGGCTCACCCCTGCAGTCCCATCTCTAGGAAGACATACATGGGGTATCACTCAAGCTCAAGGCCAGGGCAGGATATATCATGAGTCACTGTCTTAAAGACATTTCTTTAAAAGCTGGAGATAGAAATGCAGCTCAATAACAGAATGCTTGCCTAGTACATTCAGTGAACTGGGATCCATTCTCAGCAATGTGGAAAAATAATTCCAGCAATGCATGTAATTCCAGTTGCTCCACAATCTTGTCAACATTTGATGCTGTCTTTCCAGTTTTAACCACTCTAGTGAGTATGGATGTCACAGTGTATATTTAAGTAGCATTTCCTTGGCGACTAATGAAATGATGCAAATTTTCACATTTATTGACCATTCAGATGCATTCTCAAAATAAGGCCTTTTATACATTTTTATATCTGATGTGTTTGTCTGATGACTTGTGAGTCTGCAGAAGAATCTTTATTTTAGTATAATCCTGTTTTATATATGCATATTGCAAGTAAATTTTCCACTCTATACCTTCTATTTTAACATCATTATGATATCTTTGAGAAACAAAGGTTGGTAATTTTAACTTAACCTATTCTGTCAATATTTTCCATGTCTTGGTAGTGCTTTTCTACTGTTTAATGATTATTTTAATGATTATTTTAATTTTCATATTTAAAGCAACAATCAACTTAAACTCTTTCAAGTTCTTAAAATCTGGGTCACAGTTTCCCAACTTGCTTTGTAGTCTGTGCTGAAGAGATGATCCATTCCCCATTGTTTCTGAGTTGTCATGAGTGTCATAAGTCAGGTGATCATGAGTCAGCTCAAAGGTTGCATTATCTTTGAATATCAAACAATACTATGCTCTCTTACTTCTCATAACTCCATAAAAAGTGTTATTGTCAATAAAGGTCTTATCTTAAGGATAAGTGTCCTTCTGAAATAAATGAGTTTTAATGAATTTTAAATCAATAGGAAAACATTAAAAGGCACAGAGAACCTTCCCAATTGGGCACAACCTTCATCATTATAATTTGATCTACAGTAGTACATTTCTTATAATTGATTGAGCTTCAATATTAACACATACTGAGTACATCACTTTAACTGGGATTCCATCTACATACTGGTATATGTGTGTGCTCATGCGTGTGTGCAAAGGAATGGACTTGCTAGCAAGGCTAGCACAAGCAGAAAAAGAGGGATGAGCCTCTTTCTTTCATGTTCTTAAAAGGCAATGGTTCTCCAGCTTCTTAATGCTGTGACCTTATTAGAGTTCCTCTTGTTTGGTGACACCCAATCCATAAAAGTATTTTCATTGTTACTTTATAACTGTAATTTTGCTACTGTTATGAATCATAATATAAATATCTGTGGTTTTTTATAGTCTTAGGTGACTGTGGGAGGGTCATTTGACACCCCCCATGGGTGCAACCAAAAAGCTGAGAACCATAGTTACAAAGACTTCCAGCAGAAGGTACAGCCAGATTAGAGATGAGTCCTCCTACACCAAAAGACTTGGATTAAAGGTGTATCCTCCCACCTCAAAAATCTGCTTAAAAGTGGATCTTTCCACCTCAAAGTAAGCAAAAATCACCCAAAGATATAATTAGAAATGGATCTTTCCACTTTAGAATAAGCAAAAGTCACTCACAGGTATGCCCCATTTTAGGGTTTTAGTTAATTCCAGATGTAGTCAAGGTTGACAACCAAGAATAGACATCACACCATCTCTGAGTTTCATTTGGTAAATGTTAGGGCCTTTGGTACATCTTTTATGTAGGTCTGTTTTCTTAATGTTGAGTCTTTAAAGTCTTTGTACTTTGAACAACTGTCTTTTATTGAACACATCAGTTGGCAGCATTTTTCCCTGGTCTATGAACTTTGTGGTAGAATTTTTCATAGAGCAGAAAATCTAATTTTAATAAAAATGTGCATCATCAAGTATTACTTCCACAGATCACATTATCTTTTTAGGATAATCATTGTTTTAGGTCAAGATTGCTTTACTATTATCTCTTTGTATTTACATACAAAATATATATATTCAGCCCATCAAATTCATAAAGAATATTGCTGGGATTTTGCATATGGCTTTATGATTTATCAATGGTTTGAAAGATAAACAACATTTCAACCATTGAGTCTTTCCAGTAGACTATTGTGCGTTCCTCAACTTATTTCCATCTCTATTCTTTTCTCAATAAAATTTGATCTTCCTGCTTTACAGCTCCGTAGGAGATTTGT